ATCTCTCATCCACATCATTTTTTCACTAAATCTCTCTCTATTTAAACACACACCCACATTCATACTCATTCATTTAAATACATATGTAGGACCCATTATCCACTCATTTAATATAATTTTGTATATTCTATCCACAATAAAAATAATTTTAATACTTTTAAATTAAATTTTAAATACATGAAAATAAAAAAAACACTACAAGACCAAAATAACATAAATTAAAATTACACAAGAAAAAAATAGTACAACTACAAAAAAATATTTTTTTAGTTGTTGGCAAAATGAATCCAAATATGCTCAACCAAATCTATATTGTGAAATGTGGTATAGATAAAAAAATAAATTAAATATAAAAACAAAAAGAAAAAAAATAAATAAAAATGATGTAAAAAAATATTAAAGAAAGCAATAAAGAAACAAAAAAAAATAATAAAGCATTGAACGCCAAAATGATAAAAGATTAAATAAAAAATGATTTTAAAACAAAACAATAAAAAAGAAAGCAATAAAGAAAAAAAAATAAAAAAATTAAGGCATTGAACGCGTTCAACAGAGTGAACGCTTAGTGGGCCCCCCTTTTTAATGGATGTTCCACATCCGTATTAACATGCCAGGGGGCGTTTAAACGGCCGAAAAAAAGAACCGATGCAGATGCTCTTAGTTGGATTTAATGACTAGACCTTCATTGTGCTAGTTGGGTGAGGATATTATTAGTTAGATTTCACTATTAGACCGACAACAATTTTACAATATAATTATATAAACATACATTCAATTGACTAATTATTTACGAGAAATGCTACAGTCCTGTTACGAAACCATTTCGTTGAGATTTATAATTGTTAGATCATCATGTAACCATCGCGGATAACTGATCTAATGATTAGTTACAAACCACATTCCGTAACGAGACTGTAGAATATTCCAAGATTAGTCTGCATTAAAAAAATCGACTTGTCTTTTAATTAAATCGTTTTAGACTAAAAAAAACAATATTTATTTAACAAAATAAATAAAATTTTGTTTTTTTTCTATAGAAAATAAGAGAAATGTTTTATTCAGACAGTTGTGCAGTTTGGCACGTTCCCTTTCAGCCTTTCTTTCTTACATGGGAACGTGACGTGATAAAGTTTTGATGGAGCAATTTAAATAAGAACAAACCAATGAATTCAATTCAAATATAAGATGATTACTGTGTCGTTGGACAAGCTTGTCACACTAATCACAATTATTGAGTGTGTCAAAAACAAAGAGGAAATTAAATTAATTAATTGATTAGTAAACTCCAAATTCAAGCGATTTAGTGCGTCTAAAAAAAAGGAAAACAAAAATGATTAGCAAATTCCAAATTCAAGCAAATTTTATTTGGATTAAGGTGTACACTTGATTCAACTTTGACTTGTCCGGAATTCTTGATTTAGTATGGTTAATTTTGACAAAAAAAAAAATAAAAAATTGAATGGTTATTTTTTTTTTTTTTTGGAAACGATAGAAGTTGTGTGGTTAGTTATTAGTGAGATTTTGTTTTCATTAAAATAATTTTAAAAATAAAATAATTAAAGTTGTTTTGATGTAAAAATATGATAAATATGATGTGAAGTGATAATTAGTTAAAATTACATGAGTGAGTAAATAGTGAATTAAAGTTGATGTATTGTGTAAGAAATAATTGAGTAATATTATTTAATTATATTGGTAATATTGAGAATAATGGGATTGAGTTAACATTAAATTAAATCTGAATTTAAAAAAAAAAACAAAGTGATTAGTTAAAAAGAAAATTATATTTGTTTAGAAAATTTTGTATCCAATTGTCGCTATATGAATGATGGTACAAACATGTAGGCAATGTGACATGCCCATTTGTCCTTTTTTTTTTTTAATATATGAATAGTTTAATTTCAAGGCCAGGTATTATTTTCACAAGTGGGTCTATGATTGATCATAAATTTTTAAATGTGTCACAAAAAACAGTGTTACTACCGTGCACCCAGGTGCTTTAATAAGGTGTGCCATGGTGCTTTAAAATGAACATGTTATGTTACAAAATGAACATGTGTAAATATGATTCACACATGTTCATTTTGTAACATAACATGTTCATTTTGAAGGGCCCCTAGCACACCTTTCTAGGTGTGTCAGAGCGCACCTAAGTATTTGCGACAAAAGGAAGAGCAAAGCAAATGAAAGAAAATGGTTTGTGTTATGAGTAATTCCATCGTTTGATACAAAAAAAAAAAGCAAATAAAAGATTTTTTTTTATTTTATATTTATTATATCAATTTTAATCATTAAATTTCATCTCATATTTATTCATAAAAATATTTATTCATCTCATATTTATTCATATTATATCAATTTTATTCATAAAAATAAAATCATTCATCAACAAAAACCAAAAAAAATTGAACTAACTAAGGGCGTGATTGTTTACATTACATTTTATACAGTAAATATGTCACTCAAAACTCAATTTTAACTCAATTTCACTATCTCCAATATCATCAATATAATTAAATAATATCAACAAATCATTATTACACATCACATCAACTTAATTCACTATTCATCCACTCACATAATTTTAACTAACCATCATTTTCAATCATTTTTTCCTACTTTTACATCAAAATCAACTTTAATTATTTTAATTTAAATATTATTTTAATATATCAACTAACAACAAACCATACTACTTTCTTCAAACTTAATTATAGTTAAAAATAAACTAGTTTTTTACTAGTTGAATTCATATCCCATCATCCCCTAACTCACTCTTTTTCATTTAAGCAATTCTTTTTTTTTTTTTTGGAAATAATATACATCCGATATTCCGATTGCCACCACATAAATTTTTTTGGTGAAAATATGTCATTGCAACTTTATTAATTTTCCACTTGTTGAATTTAAATTATTATTGATCAAATAACACACCATAGAAAAACAGTAACACTTGCAAAATTATTATGTTAGAGTATATACACCTTTGAGAACAAATTATTATGCACACATAAAAATTATCTTTATGTCATGCATACAACAAAAATACCAAATGCATTAATTCCAATTTCATTCTACAGTAACTTTTCTATAAAGTTACCCTAAGATGTGGCGCAGAGAAATTTGGGCCACCGTTTTAGAATTCCAACATTCTGGTTGGCAACTTGCATTTTGCTCTTGGAATGAGTTGGAATGGGCTTGAAGCTTGCAAAAGGCCCAATACTCATCTGTAGAATATGGACTAGAACATCATATATCGGGTTCAATAGATAATATAGTTTGTGCGAGACTTGAACTGAACTGAAGTGAGGAAAAATCATACGAAAAAATTGCTGAGTGGAAATTCAATCGCCATACGATACGAGCTTTGCTCCAACTTTCAGGCCGATAATGGTGAGTGCTGGGAAAGGTTTCTTCCTTATGTTTTCTGTTATTTTTCTCTTTCTTCCTTGAGGATATCTGTCGCACACTTTCAGTCCCAAACTTCAACTTTTTGTGTTGTTAAAGGAAAAAAATTATTGGGTTTTTTTTTTTCAGTCGGTCACGCTCCACACGAATTTGGGCGACATCAAGTGCGAAATCTTCTGCGACGAGGTTCCTAAGACTGCTGAGGTTTGTGCCCTTTGAACTTAATTTTGGGTGCTTTTAGATTTCAGCTTTTATGGAGTGTAGAAGTGCCTGCCAGTGTAGGGTTTCCACTTAATTGTTATGTATTTTGGATTGTGATTGATGAGTTACTTGTGTGTTTAACATTAGGAACTGATTCATTTGGTTGCTTTTTCTCTTTTCGTTGCCTAACGACTAGAATGCTTCTGCCGAGTGTAGAACAGAACGAATAAGGTCGTGCTTAGCACATAAGCTGATAAGCTATCTTGTCGATACTCCAAATCGCTTAAAAGCCATTGTTGTACATGAATCCTCTTTACATGGGAGCTGAAGAACCTTGCATTAGGTGTATTAAGTGCATCTTATATCTGGTGTTCTTTCTAGTTCTCCAATCCCCTTTAGTCAAGGGAGATATTCTGGCAATAGCCTTAGATAGAAGAAAAGGGGTTTCCTTCTCCATGTTAACTTGGTTTGTTCATGTTAATTTCCGGCTGTTGTGTAACCAGCTGGGTGATGTAGTTTTTGGGCTGAAGTGTTTCCATTACTACTTTGGTATTCACACTGCATTGTAAGATCTTTTTGGCAGTGACTTGCTTTCTTTTTTGTGTAACACGTTATTCTCCTTGATGGGCTAAAATTGTGTTACAGAACTTCCTGGCACTATGTGCGAGTGGCTATTACGATGGAACCATATTTCATCGGAATATCAAAGGCTTCATGATTCAAGGTGGTGACCCAACTAACACTGGCAAGGGCGGGACAAGCATATGGGGTAAAAAGTTCAATGACGAGATAAGAGAGTCTCTTAAGGTAACTCCGTCGAGGGCTTGCCAATTGTCATATTCGGCAATTTATTCATTTTATTGCTGCCTATTTGTTTTTCTTGCGATTTTGTATTGGTCTCTGGGTCCTTGTCTGTTTGTTTATAATTTATTCTCATTGTCGAACAAAGACTTTATTTTGTTTGTATATTTTGAGTACCGAAAAGCTCATTTGTTTGTGATGTCGTATATGGGCTCTCAGTGAATCAAGAGGTATATTCAGATGGTTCATCAAATACCAAAAAATATCACATATCCTTATTTGTTGTCTTAAATAGGGAACTGAAAACCATCAACCACTTGTCTGTTACGAAGGCTGGTCTTGTTTTCTTTTGAATTCGCTCTTTTTAGAAGCAACTAGAGGTATACATAGTTGCGTTTATTATTTGTTTTATTATTATTTTGTTTATATTTTTGCTTCTGATGCAGCACAATGCTAGAGGTATATTATCCATGGCTAACAGTGGGCCTAATACCAATGGAAGCCAATTTTTCATTACTTATGGCAAGCAACCACATCTTAATGGACTTTACACCATTTTCGGCAAAGTGATTCATGGTTTTGATATTCTCGACATAATGGAAAAGGTAATAATAGCCCAAGCCCTTAGTTAGTCCCTTTGTATATTTCGCTTATAATATGTCTTGGCTGAGTTCTTGAATCATTGAGGAATGATATGTCTGTACTAATCTGATAGTTAACTTCCCAATTACCGACCGTTTGTGTTTCCATTTTGCAGGCTCAAACAGGACCTGGGGATCGGCCTCTGATGGAGATCAGGGTTAACCGTGTGACGATACATGCTAACCCACTTGCCGGTTAAATGCAGCTTTAGTTGCAAACATAAA